CTGAGAATCCTATGCCAGTTGAGGAATCAATTGTGGCATTGGGGAAGTCCTTGGGGTTGGAGGTTAGTGGGGAGGATGTGGAAGAGTTGGTGGAGGAGGACAATGAAGAACTAACCACTGATGAGCTGCTAGATCAACTTCAACAGCAAGAGGCCACACCTGAGGAAATTGCTTCAGAGGAGGGGAGAGAGAAATTGAAGAAGTTGCTTACTTCAAAGATTAAGGAAATCTGTGCAAAGTGGCTTGAAGTGCAAACCTTCATGGATGAAAATCACCCTCAGACAGCTATTGCAAGCCGTGTTGGCTACCTGTACAATGACAATGTTGTGAACCACTTTAGGAAAGTCATAAAGGAATGATAGGTACAGGCCACTATGGACAGACATGTTGTGCGACAGAAGTCCAGTGACTCTGAAGCTGGTCCTAGTGGCATTAAAAGAAGAAGGGAAGCAACCCCGGAAAAGGACTTGACACCTCAAGTCCTAATGGAAGGGGATTCCCCTTCTAAACACTAAAACCATCCAGTCTTCCCTCCTCCCATCCCATCAATCATCACCACATCTTCAATAAAGGTAAGTGTCATGTAACTGTGCATGTTTTCTTAAGTTTGTGTGTATTAAAATTAATATTTCATGTGGTAAAATTTTTTTTTTTCATACTTTTGGGTGTCTTGCACGGATTAATTTGATTTCCATTATTTCTTATGGGGAAAATTAATTCGCATAACAATAATTTCACATAACATTGAGCTCTCAGGAACGGATTAATAGCGTTATGCTGGGGTCCACTGTATAGGATATTGTGTGGTTTACATATTATATAAAACTAATTACAGAGAGATCCACTATCACACCTAGCATGACTAGGCATTTCAGGCAGACTAAGATTAATTCAAAACTCTATACATATTGGTACAGATTATGGAGCATATTGGTATTATGGCTAAGTAACTGCATTACAGTTCATAAATTTAGCAATGTAAATGGTTTTGTTTTGGTACAATACATAGTTTCTATTGAAGTTCCTATATTGGAGTATCACAGGCAAACTTATGACTAGTTAAGATTCGTTAGGTAATAGTTGTATTACTAGGCAGAAACTTCACAAAATAAAATATATAGAACAGGGCATATGTAAATCATCCTTTATCTTCCTTCAGGATGCTATAGTGATGTGGTAGAGCACAGTTAAGGAAAGTTAAAAAAAAAAAAAATGTTTGCTGCAAACACATTATGGTAAATAAATGTTTTTGAGTTGGAAGAAATATGTATGTATTGCTGGAATGTAATGAAGTTTGAACATAAGTTTTCCTGAGTGTTCCTGCCACTTTCATAGTAAAGTATTAGTAAAGTACATTGTAGTTTGTTTTCCGTGACATTTTATAGTTTTACATTACAGGGGGGCCCTGCTTATTCAAATTCAAATTCAAATTCAAAGTTTATTCTCTATAAGGATTACAATGCTGAGTTTACAGAAATTTGGTTATTGTGTGGTTCACATGTAGTAAAATAGTGATTACAGAGTGTACCACTAGAACGCTTAGCATGGCTAGGCATTTCGGGCAGACTTAGTTTTATTCTTAATTGTAAAATATTACAAATTATGAGGTAAGTTGGTATTATGGCTAAGTGACTAAATACCAGTTTGTGAGTTTAGCAATGTAAATGCTTTTGTTTTGGCACAGTACATAGTTTCAGTATTGGAGTATCACAGGATTCATTATTTTAAGATTGAGATTAATATTTCTGTTTATGGTCAAATGAGTCAGTGAATGTAAGTGTGAACCACCAGGTGGTATTCGTGTAGTTAGTTGACAGGGTGTATCAGGGAGATAAGATGTTTTCTAATGGTAGTTTTGAAGGTGATGAATGTGTCTGCAGTTATAGAATTCTCAGGTAGGGTATTCCAGATTTTAGGGCCTTTGACATACATTGAATTTTTGTAAAGGTTTAGTCGGACACGGGGAATGTCGTAGAGATGTTTGTGTCTGGTGTTATGCCTGTGGGTTCTGTCACAACTATCAAGAAAGCATTTTAGGTCAAGGTTGATATTAGAGTTTAAGGCCCTGTAGATGTAGATTGCACAGTAGTAAGTGTGGATGTACTGAACAGGGAGTAAGTTTAGGTCTATGAAGAGTGGGGGGGGGTGTGTTGCCAGGGATGGGATTTAGTGATTATTCTTACTGCAGCTTTTTGTTGGGTTATTATTGGCTTTAGGTGTGTTGCTGCAGTTGATCCCCAAGCACAAATAGCATAGGTGAGGTATGGATAAATAAGTGAGTGGTATAGTGTGAGAAGGGCATTTTGCGGCACGTAGTATCGTATCTTGGAGAGGATCCCAACCGTTTTGGATACTTTTTTGGTTATATGCTGGATTTTTTTTTTTTTTTTTTTTTTTTTCTCAACAAGTCGGCCGTCTCCCACCGAGGCAGGGTGACCCAAAAAAAGAAAGAAAATCCCCAAAAAGAAAATACTTTCATCATCATTCAACACTTTCACCACACTCGCACATTATCACTGTTTTTGCAGAGGTGCTCAGAATACAACAGTCTAGAAGCATACACACATAAAGATACACAACATATCCCTCCAAACGGCCAATATCCCAAACCCCTCCTTTAAAGTGCAGGCATTGTACTTCCCATTTCCAGGACTCAAGTCCGACTATATGAAAATAACCGGTTTCCCTGAATCCCTTCACTAAATATTACCCTGCTCACACTCCAACAGATCGTCAGGTCCCAAGTACCATTCGTCTCCATTCACTCCTATCTAACACGCTCACGCACGCTTGCTGGAAGTCCAAGCCCCTTACCCACAAAACCTCCTTTACCCCCTCTCTCCAACCCTTTCGAGGACGACCCCTACCCCGCCTTCCTTCCCCTATAGATTTATATGCTTTCCATGTCATTCTACTTTGATCCATTCTCTCTAAATGACCAAAACACCTCAACAACCCCTCTTCTGCCCTCTGACTAATACTTTTATTAACTCCACACCTCCTAATTTCCACACTCCGAATTTTCTGCATAATATTTACACCACACATTGCCCTTAAACAGGACATCTCCACTGCCTCCAACCGTCTCCTCGCTGCTGCATTTACCACCCAAGCTTCACACCACTCACCTTTTTTCCCTCACACACGGAGGGCCCGGGTTCGATTCCCGGCGGGTGGAAATTCCGACACGTTTCCTTACACCTATTGTCCTGTTCACCTAGCAGCAAATAGGTACCCGGGTGTTAGTCGACTGGTGTGGGTCGCATCCTGGGGGACAAGATTAAGGACCCCAATGGAAATAAGTTAGACAGTCCTCGATGACGCACTGACTTTCTTGGGTTATCCTGGGTGGCTAACCCTCCGGGGTTAAAAATCCGAACGAAATCTTATCTTATCTTATCTTATCAATTCTATGATTAACCTCATCCTTCATAAGTCCATCCGCCGACACGTCAACTCCCAAGTATCTGAAAACATTCACTTCTTCCATACTCCTCCTCCCCAATTTGATATCCAATTTTTCTTTATCTAAATCATTTGACACCCTCATCACCTTACTCTTTTCTATGTTCACTTTCAACTTTCTACCTTTACACACATTCCCAAACTCATCCACTAACCTTTGCAATTTTTCTTTAGAATCTCCCATAAGCACAGTATCATCAGCAAAAAGTAACTGTGTCAATTCCCATTTTGAATTTGCTGGATATGGGTGCTGAAATTCAGGTTGTTGTCAAGGTATAAGCCTAGGAATTTGCCCCCATTATTTCTGGTAATTAGAGTGTTGTCAATCTTAATGTTAATTTGTGCATCTCCTGCTCTGCTACCAAACATAATATAGTAGGTTTTGTCAGTGTTAAGCGTAAGTTTATTGGCTGTCATCCAAGTCGATATTTTGATCAGCTCCTCATTCACAGTGGTGTTGAGGGTGGCAAGATTAGGGTGAGAGATGACATAAGTCGTGTCGTCAGCAAAGAGAATGGGTTTCAGGTGTTGGGATACGTTTGGAAGGTCATTGATGTATATGAGGAAGAGCAGGGGACCAAGGACACTTCCCTGCGGAACTCCAGTATCAAGTGGCCGTGTTGCTGATGCTGTGTCTTTAATGGTGACATACTGATACCTATTAGTAATGTAAGATTTGAAATAAGCAAGCGCATGGCCTCTTATACCGTAATGATCAAGTTTGTGGAGTAGGATGTCGTGGTCTACTGTGTCAAAAGCTTTTCTTAGGTCAATAAAAATTCCTAGTGGATATTCCTTATACAGCAGGTTAGGTTCCGGGCTGCTACTGTACAGCAAAATCGCTGTAAAGTGAAACATAACCTATTTTCACTTTCAAATGCATATCATAGCCTAATAACCTATTTACACTATCATATATTAAGCGAGCAATAGAGATAGGCCTAAAAATGCATATACAGTACACATATTACTTACCTTAAAATACTTTCATACTTATATTGAGTATTGAATATATTTATTGTAGGAAGCATGAATAAATGAAGAATGAGTATAATTGAAAACAGCAGGTTGGAGAAGCCCATAGGTATTTTAGGCAGACTTAAGAATAAACATGTAATCAACTAGTTATAGGTATTATATGCTATAAACTTTCATGAAGAGCTAATGAAATTATATGGAGCTAGGAGAAATAGATCTACCTAGAAGGTGTTCCAGTGCCCCTATAGCCTAGTCCTTGACCAGGTACAACCATTATTCAATGTAATTTACTCCTCAGTGTTACAAGATATGTTGTCATGGGTAAGTACTAAACGTGTAAGGGTCATCCATAACCTGAGGAAAGGGAGGTTATCTAGTTTGATCTGAGGAAGGGAAGTTTAACTGTTGAGTCAAAAGCCCTTCACTGCCACTGGAGTGCTCTCTGTGAAGGGTAAAAAAGTGAATTAGAACATTTGCACCAACTGAAAAAAATTTATTGAAAAGGCTTTCAAGAAGTTTGTGATTGAGCAGGACTTCATTATGTCTCCATTTTTCAGGTATGAGATTTTTGAAGCTCCAGATGGTCAATTTGGCACAATGAATGACAATCAAGAGTGGAATGGTATGATCAAGCAACTTATTGATAAGGTTGGTAGCCTTACTTATGTCTGCTCGGTATCCTAGATTAGCTCATCATTGTATTTGAATGATATTATTGTCAGCATTTTATATAGTATGCTGACCTGTCCTGACCATGGGACTAGGACATCTTGACCTAATGACCAATACTTCCTGACCATCACATGAGGACATCTTGACATGACCATGAGCATCCTAACAACAGGATTAGGATATCCTGAGTACAGGACCAAGACATACTAACTTCATTTTGCCTGTACTGATTTTTTATTTTTGCTAAACCTTAGCTAAGATCACTGCTATGTTAATTGTTTCATCCAGTACTTTGGTTCATTACTTGAATAATGATCTGTTAGTCATATGCCTACATTAGTTTTATTTCTTCATCAGATGTTACACAAGAATGTTACTACATTTATTATGATTCTCTTTTGCCTGCAAGTATTTTATTGTTTAAATAATATATAGCATAGTTTTCAAACACAGTATCCCTCTCATTGTTTTTCTCCCTCCCTGCCCTCCCTCTATTTTTCTCCCTCATTCAGTCAGTTTTATCTTGGTTTCTTTCCAGGCAGCAGACATTGCCTTAGCACCACTGTCAGTAATGGCAGAGCGGGAAAATGTGGTGGACTTCACAGTTCCATACTATGACTTGGTGGGCATCACCATCATGATGAAGAAGGTCAAGCTACCCACATCTCTCTTCAAGTTCCTGACGGTGCTTGAGCCAGAGGTGTGGATTTGCATCCTCGTTGCCTATGGTTTCACCAGGTAAGGAGTGCAGTTAAGAAATGGAGGGGAGGATGAAGGGCGAGGATATTCATGAGGTGTCGAGTGGGGGGGGGGGGGTTGAGCTGGAAAAGCTTGAGGGCTTCACTAGGCAAAGAGGTATGAAAGCTTCAAGTGTGAGGAGAGAGCTTCACCAAAAGAATGAAGAGTTAATTTTAAGCAGCTGGAAGGAGAAAAGAGAGAGAGGGTGAGTGGAGGAGAGAGGATGTGAGTTTGATCCTTTAGGTTAAATTTACCTTTCAAAGATTAATACTATTTTTCCCTTACCTTGCCATTATTTGTTTACTATTTATGCCCTTGTTCCCCAGTTTTACATACTGAGATAGCTAGTAAAATACTGAAATTCTGGAATATGCATGACATTGGTTGCCAGGAACACAGCCCATGTTTATAATATTACACCTATAGGAAATAAGGGCTTAAATTGCATCTATGCATCTTTATATCTTTATATAATGCATCCCACTACATTTTTTTTTTAACACAGGGTTTGTGCATCTCTTGCTTACAGCATCTCTTGTATATCTTCTTTTTTTCCATGTCATCTTTGTATAGTTTTTCACAAACCTTCTCCTTTTACCACTTCTGCCTTCTCACAGCATCTTGTTCATCTTCTTTTCTCTTCTGCAGCATCCTCCTGTACATCTTTGATCGGTTCAGCCCTTACAGCTACCAGAACAACAGGGAGAAATACAAGGATGATGAAGAGAAGAGAGAATTTAACTTGAAGGAATGTCTCTGGTTCTGCATGACATCGCTCACCCCCCAGGTGTGTTCAATAGGTATCTGGGTGTTAGTCAACCGTTATTAATGGCATATTGGGGTGGTGGTGATGTATCTTTGTTAAGGCTTGGCTTTGAAATGAGCTGAGGTAGAATAAGAGCTCTTAGCCTGTAAATTGTATTGGGTAAAAAATTGTCTTATGTCATGATACTAGATACCCTAAAGGTGTTCATCACATCAGTGGCCTTACTCAGGGCATAAGGAAGGAAGTGCTTTAATGCTGATGAAGGCTCTTGATCCAAGATATTGGAGCTACACTTCCTTCGGATCAAACCTAATTTCCTCTCATTCCTCAGGTGCTGTATGATCCCTCAATGGATATACTGTAATAATAATAACAAATCTACTTGAGGACATAGTGGCTCAGAGTATCAGGTGTACATTCTTGTACTTGCAGTTGCAGAGTGCCATGTATTAGTTTACCTAATATATTATTACACATTGCCTCATTATGTGCTGGAATGAGATAAAATTAATGAATTGAGAGAGAACTCTCTATTGTCACACCAAAACTTCATCGTAAGTTCCTCTCTCCTATGTGTGGGTTATATTTGTGTATGGGTGACATTACGTTGTGCATGCAGAAAGTCAATGGTTATGCAGAGTATTTTGGGCAAGAGTAGAGTAACTTTAGACTTCAATGGGAATAATTATTATTTGCTTATATACAGTGGACCCCCGCATAACGATTACCTCCGAATGTGACCAATTATGTAAGTGTATTTATGTAAGTGCGTTTGTACGTGTATGTTTGGGGGTCTGAAATGGACTAATCTACTTCACAATATTTCTTATGGGAACAAATTCGGTCAGTACTGGCACCTGAACATACTTCTGGAGTGAAAAAATATCGTTAACCGGGGGTCCACTGTATAAGGATATTGAAGGTATACAGGCATAAATTTAGGCATTACAGATAATAAACTAATGAACTCTGTTTAAGATAGTGATGTACAGCATCATCACAGCTCACATACTATATCATGTGCCCCAGGGAGGAGGAGAGGCACCCAAGAATCTGTCTGGGCGGCTGGTGGCAGCAACTTGGTGGCTCTTTGGCTTCATCATCATTGCCTCATACACTGCTAACTTGGCTGCCTTCCTCACAGGTCTGATGCTCCCTATTGAATTTTGCTACATGTATCTATTCTTTTCACTATCCACTTTCTTTTAATGAACTTTTTGAACTGTGATATAAGCACGCTTCTGGCAAGACAGTGGTGGAATGAGTGATGATGAAAGTGTTTCTTCTTCTTCTTCGGGTCACTCTACCATGGTGGGGAAACAGCATGTGTGTTAAAAAAAATGAATAAAACAAGTGATGAAAAAGACACAGTTACAGAAAAGAACCTTCTTGAAAGGGCAGGCTTCTTCAGTTACTCATTAACCAAAGAAGTCTGTTCTGTAGATGAAATAACCAAAGAAGTCTGTTCTGTAGATGAAATATTGCAATAAGTTTCTCTCTGCAACTGTCTTTTTTGTCACTTTCTTTTAACCTCTTTTGTTCTATTTTCCGTTAATTTTTAATTGATTAAAATCTTGCACCTTATATGTGTCCTTGTTTTTCTAGCGGCTTAGATTCACACTTAAAATTTGTGTGAGTGTCCACTGCTGAAGTAAACAGTTCTCTTTAATGTTAATCCCTTCATGTATGCTATACCATTGTCAGTATAATGTACAAATTTCAGTGTTAACAAAAATGCTATACAGTGGACCCCCGCATAACGATCACCTCCGAATGCCACCAATTATGTAAGTGTATTTATGTAAGTGCGTTTGTACGTGTATGTTTGGGGGTCTGAAATGGACTAATCTACTTCACAATATTCCTTATGGGAACAAATTCGGTCAGTACTGGCACCTGAACATACTTCTGGATTGAAAAAATATCGTTAACCGGGGGTCCACTGTAGTTTAGAACCTAATTTATTTTAAGTTTTAAAGATGGTTGTTTGATCTATACCATAACAAGAGAAGGCAAAGAAGGCAATATATTTTTAAATTATTAGTGTTTGAGACAATATTTTTCTAGCTCTGAGTTATAATTCCAAGAGGATAAAATTAGAATCACCATATAACTTAATATTATTCTGTAAAATGTTCAGGATTTTTTTTTTCAACATGATGGCCATCTCCCACTGAGGCAGGGTGACCCAAAAGAGAAAGAAATACTTTCACCATCATTCACATGTAATCACTGTCTTTGTAGAGGCTTGCAGATACGACACTTCAGATGTCACTCCAAACAGCAAATATCCCAAACCCCTCCTTTAAAGTGCAGACATTGTACTTCCCACCTCCAGGATTCAAGTCTGGCTAATAGATTTCCCTGAATCCCCTCACAAAATGTTACCCAGCTCACACTCCAACAGCTTGTCAAGTCCCAAAAATCATTAGTCTTCACTCCTATTTAAAGGACCCCAATGGAAATAAGTCACTTTTCTTGACTTTTTTAGGTTATCCTGGTTCTCTACACATTTATTTATTTATTTATTTTATTTATTTATTAATTTGAACATGATACAGTGAAGTACAAAAGAATACAGTAAAATGCAGCATGCTGCTATGTATGATAATCTATGTAACTATATTTGTGTATACCTGAATAAACTTACTTACTAACTTAATAACACACGCATGCTTGTTGTATGTCCAAGCCCCTTGCACACAAAACCTCTTTTACCCTTTCTCCCTCCATCCTTTCCTAGGATGACCCCCTAATCCTCCTTCCCTCCACTTCAGATTTATGCATCCTCCAAATCATCCTATTTTGCTCCATAATCTCTAAATGATCAAACCACCTCAATAACCCCTCCTCAGGCCTCTGAATAATACTTTTAGTAACTCCACATCTCATAATTTTCACACTACAAATTCTCTGCATAATATTTACGACACACGTTGCCCCTAGACACAACATCTCTACTGCCTCCAGCTTCTTCCTTGCTGCAACATTTATAACCCATGCTTTACACCCACATAAGAGTTTTGGTACCACCATACTCTCGTACATTATCTCCTTTGCCTTCATGGATAATGTTCTTTGTCTCCAGAAATACCTTGGTGCAACACTCACCTTTTTTCCTTCATCAATTCTGTGGTTTACATTGTCTGTCATAAACCCATTTGCTGACAAGTCTACTCCCAAATGTCTGAACACATTCACTTCTTCCATACTCCCTCCCTCCCTCCAATATGATACCCAATTTTTTCTTATCTAACTCGTTTGATACCTTCATCACCTTACTCTAATCTATGTTTACTTTCAACTTTTTTCCTTTACACACCCTCCCAAACTCGTCCACTAACCTTTGCAACTTCTCTTTGGAATCTCCCAAAAGCACAGTATCACCAACAAAAAGTAACTGTGTCAACTCCTATTTTGTATTTGAATCTGCATAATTTAATCCCACCCCTCTCTCCAACACCCTAGCATTTACTTCTTTTACAACCCCATCTATAACTATATTAAACAACCATGGTGACATTATGCATCTTTGTTTAAGACCTACTTTTACTGGAAAGTAATCTTCCTCTCTCCTACACACTCTAACTGAGCCTCACTATCTTCATAAAAACTCCTTACAGCATTTAGTAACTTACCACCTATTCCATACACTTGCAACATCTACCACATTGCTCCCCTGTCCACCCTATCTTAAGTCTTTTCTAAATCCATAAATGCAATGAAAACTTCCATACCTTTATCTAAATATTGTTCTTTTATATGCTTCAATGTAAACTCTTTGTCTACACATCCCCTACCCATTCTAAAGCCATATCACTGTATAATTGCACTACTATGTATAAGTTAATCTCTGTATAACTGAACTTCTGTGAATAACTGAATAATAGTTTGTGTCACCTCCTGCAGTGTCACGTTTGGATACCCCCATTGAATCGCTGGATGACCTGAGCAACCAATACAAGGTACAGTATGCCCCAGTGAACGGCACCTCCACCATGACCTACTTCGAGCGGATGGCTTATATCGAGAAGAAGTTCTACGAGTAGGTTGGCCCTCTCACCATTCTTTTCTCTCTCTTGACACATACATTTCATAATCATTTTCATTATTTCTGGTATGATTTACTGTTACTTGTTCGAGGGTGTGACTGAATTTGTTTTTTACATATTTATGTTTGTTAATCTGAATCCATGATTCCTGTAAATAGTTCATTATAAGATTCTTTCTTAGTTTTCCAGCAAATTTTTTATTAAGAAGATCTGTGAGGGAGTTGTTGGTAGTTTGGCATTTTTCTGTCTAAGTTAATGCAATAACTAATGAAAAATATTCCCTTTTGTTTCCTTAGCCCTTAAATGGTCCAAACGTATATATACGTTTTTTCAACATCTGAAAGTATGTAAAAAAATGTAGATCTTTTTCTTTTGTTTTGCATGTGAAAACGTGTAAAAAAAACTTTTACCTACATTTTTTTTTTGTTATATTTGAAAATATGTAAAAAAAAGTAGATCTACTTTTGTAGCACTACGAATTTGAACGTTGATCTGTTTGAACTGTTTAAGGGTTAAATATATCAACAGTACTACTGTCAGGTTGTTAAAATTTCTTCATTAGTTTGGTTGGTGTTGCTGAATATAATTTCTCTAATTCTTTGCTTATTTCCAGTCTATGTTTTTTATAGTAGTGTTCTTTGCAATAACCTAGGATAACCCAGTGAAGTTACAGCTGATATAGACATATGTACATTAGTGGCAAATTATATTGATTTGTAATAGGATAACCCATTAATGCCAAGCAGCAAGAATTATTTCAAATGTTTGTATGTATAAAAGTTATTATCCTAACTCTCTGGCAGGATTTGGAAGGATATGTCCCTAAATGACTCAATGAGTGACGTTGAGCGGGCCAAGCTTGCAGTGTGGGACTACCCTGTGAGCGACAAGTACACCAAGATGTGGCAGTCCATGCAGGAGGCTGGCCTTCCCAATTCCCTTGAGGCTGCTATTGCGAGGGTCAGGAAATCTACCTCTACAAGTGAAGGATTTGCTTACCTAGGTATGTCAGTGGTGGTAACAGTGGTTGACCAAGGTGTGGGTAAGAGATGGGATGTGGGCAAGAGAGGGAGATGTGGGTGAGAGAGGGAGATATATGAGAAAGGGGGGTGTGGGTTAGAGAGGTAGGTATAGGCGAGAGAGATAAGTGTGGGTTAGAGAGGTAGGTGTGATGAATGGTTTGAAAAACCGACATGTTGAAGATTGAGACACTTATGCAGCATATGGGAATCTTTATTCAGGAAACGTTTCGCCACGCAGTGGCTTCATCAGTCCAATACAAAGAGGAAGGCGTAAGGAGAGGAGGAGAATGAGGTAATCAGTCCCTCAACCTGGAGTCGATGTGTTCAGTCCATCAATCTTGTAGAATGTACAGCATAGGGCCGTAGACGTGGCTTATATACTGTAGTGAGGTGACGTGAAGCAGTTGGAGGCGGGGTCATAGTGGTACCATCCACTAGTCGAAGTAGGTCTTCGTCCAAAGGTTGAACAAGTGTTGAAGAATTCTTTGTAACAAGATCCCATGATGCTGCTGTGTCTGACAGTTGTGATGAATGGTTTGAAAAACCGACATGTTGAAGATTGAGACACTTATGCAGCATATGGGAATCTTTATTCAGGAAACGTTTCGCCACGCAGTGGTTTTCATCAGTCCAATACAAAGAGGAAGGCGTAAGGAGAGGAGGAGAATGAGGTAATCAGTCCCTCAACCTGGAGTCGATGTGTTCAGTCCATCAATCTTGTAGAATGTACAGCATAGGGCCGTAGACGTGGCTTATATACTGTAGTGAGGTGACGTGAAGCAGTTGGAGGCGGGGTCATAGTGGTACCATCCACTAGTCGAAGTAGGTCTTCGTCCAAAGGTTGAACAAGTGTTGAAGAATTCTTTGTAACAAGATCCCATGATGCTGCTGTGTCTGACAGTTGTGATGAATGGTTTGAAAAACCGACACTTGAAGATTGAGACACTTATGCAGCATATGGGAATCTTTATTCAGGAAACGTTTCGCCACGCAGTGGCTTCATCAGTCCAATACAAAGAGGAAGGCGTAAGGAGAGGAGGAGAATGAGGTAATCAGTCCCTCAACCTGGAGTCGATGTGTTCAGTCCATCAATCTTGTAGAATGTACAGCATAGGGCCGTAGACGTGGCTTATATACTGTAGTGAGGTGACGTGAAGCAGTTGGAGGCGGGGTCATAGTGGTACCATCCACTAGTCGAAGTAGGTCTTCGTCCAAAGGTTGAACAAGTGTTGAAGAATTCTTTGTAACAAGATCCCATGATGCTGCTGTGTCTGACAGTTGTGATGAATGGTTTGAAAAACCGACATGTTGAAGATTGAGACACTTATGCAGCATATGGGAATCTTTATTCAGGAAACGTTTCGCCACGCAGTGGCTTCATCAGTCCAATACAAAGAGGAAGGCGTAAGGAGAGGAGGAGAATGAGGTAATCAGTCCCTCAACCTGGAGTCGATGTGTTCAGTCCATCAATCTTGTAGAATGTACATCATAGGGCCGTAGACGTGGCTTATATACTGTAGTGAGGTGACGTGAAGCATTGGAGGGGGGGTCATAGTGGTACCATCCACTAGTCGAAGTAGGTCTTCGTCCAAAGGTTGAACAAGTGTTGAAGAATTCTTTGTAACAAGATCCCATGATGCTGCTGTGTCTGACAGTTGTGATGAATGGTTTGAAAAACCGACATGTTGAAGATTGAGACACTTATGCAGCATATGGGAATCTTTATTCAGGAAACGTTTCGCCACGCAGTGGCTTCATCAGTCCAATACAAAGAGGAAGGCGTAAGGAGAGGAGGAGAATGAGGTAATCAGTCCCTCAACCTGGAGTCGATGTGTTCAGTCCATCAATCTTGTAGAATGTACAGCATAGGGCCGTAGACGTGGCTTATATACTGTAGTGAGGTGACGTGAAGCAGTTGGAGGCAGCATCATGGGATCTTGTTACAAAGAATTCTTCAACACTTGTTCAACCTTTGGACGAAGACCTACTTCGACTAGTGGATGGTACCACTATGACCCCGCCTCCAACTGCTTCACGTCACCTCACTACAGTATATAAGCCACGTCTACGGCCCTATGCTGTACATTCTACAAGATTGATGGACTGAACACATCGACTCCAGGTTGAGGGACTGATTACCTCATTCTCCTCCTCTCCTTACGCCTTCCTCTTTGTATTGGACTGATGAAGCCACTGCGTGGCGAAACGTTTCCTGAATAAAGATTCCCATATGCTGCATAAGTGTCTCAATCTTCAACATGTCGGTTTTTCAAACCATTCATCACAACTGTCAGACACAGCAGCATCATGGGATCTTGTTACAAAGAATTCTTCAACACTTGTTCAACCTTTGGACGAAGACCTACTTCGACTAGTGGATGGTACCACTATGACCCCGCCTCCACTGCTTCACGTCACCTCACTACAGTATATAAGCCACGTCTACGGCCCTATGCTGTACATTCTACAAGATTGATGGACTGAACACATCGATCCAGGTTGAGGGACTGATTACCTCATTCTCCTCCTCTCCTTACGCCTTCCTCTTTGTATTGGACTGATGAAGCCACTGCGTGGCGAAACGTTTCCTGAATAAAGATTCCCATATGCTGCATAAGTGTCTCAATCTTCAACATGTCGGTTTTTCAAACCATTCATCACAACTGTCAGACACAGCAGCATCATGGGATCTTGTTACAAAGAATTCTTCAACACTTGTTCAACCTTTGGACGAAGACCTACTTCGACTAGTGGATGGTACCACTATGACCCCGCCTCCAACTGCTTCACGTCACCTCACTACAGTATATAAGCCACGTCTACGGCCCTATGCTGTACATTCTACAAGATTGATGGACTGAACACATCGACTCCAGGTTGAGGGACTGATTACCTCATTCTCCTCCTCTCCTTACGCCTTCCTCTTTGTATTGGACTGATGAAGCCACTGCGTGGCGAAACGTTTCCTGAATAAAGATTCCCATATGCTGCATAAGTGTCTCAATCTTCAACATGTCGGTTTTTCAAACCATTCATCACAACTGTCAGACACAGCAGCATCATGGGATCTTGTTACAAAGAATTCTTCAACACTTGTTCAACCTTTGGACGAAGACCTACTTCGACTAGTGGATGGTACCACTATGACCCCGCCTCCAACTGCTTCACGTCACCTCACTACAGTATATAAGCCACGTCTACGGCCCTATGCTGTACATTCTACAAGATTGATGGACTGAACACATCGACTCCAGGTTGAGGGACTGATTACCTCATTCTCCTCCTCTCCTTACGCCTTCCTCTTTGTATTGGACTGATGAAGCCACTGCGTGGCGAAACGTTTCCTGAATAAAGATTCCCATATGCTGCATAAGTGTCTCAATCTTCAACATGTCGGTTTTTCAAACCATTCATCACAACTGTCAGACACAGCAGCATCATGGGATCTTGTTACAAAGAATTCTTCAACACTTGTTCAACCTTTGGACGAAGACCTACTTCGTCTAGTGGATGGTACCACTATGACCCCGCCTCCAACTGCTTCACGTCACCTCACTACAGTATATAAGCCACGTCTACGGCCCTATGCTGTACATTCTACAAGATTGATGGACTGAACACATCGACTCCAGGTTGAGGGACTGATTACCTCATTCTCCTCCTCTCCTTACGCCTTCCTCTTTGTATTGGACTGATGAAGCCACTGCGTGGCGAAACGTTTCCTGAATAAAGATTCCCATATGCTGCATAAGTGTCTCAATCTTCAGAGAGGTAGGTGTAGGCGAGAGAGATAAGTGTGGGTTAGAGAGGTAAGTATGGGGTAGGAAGGTAAGTGTGGATGAAAGAGTTAGGTGTGGGTGAGAGAGGGAAGTATAGGTGAAAGAGAGGCATGGATTCAAGAGGGAGGTGTGGGTGAGAGGGAAGTATGGGTGAGAGAGGAAAGTGAGTGACAGAGGGAAGTGTGGGTGAGAGAGAGAGATGTATGGTTGAAGACAGGTAGTAAGGTTTTCATTTTCATTAAGTGAACTCAATATTCTCAGTAGAGTAAAACTCTTCTCATAAGTTTATATTTGTCTAAATTGTCTGAAGATATTATATAATTTTTTTGTATAAGTATATTATTTTCTTTCTTTCAACACACCGGCCATATCCCACCGAGGCGGGGTGGCCCAAAAGGAAAAACGAAAGTTTCTCCTTTTACATTTAGTAATATATACAGGAGAAGGGGTTACTAGCTCCTTGCTCCCGGCATTTTAGTCGCCTCTTACAACACGCATGGCTTACTGAGGAAGAATTCTGTTCCACTTCCCCATGGAGGTAAGAGGAAATAAACAAGAACAAGAACTAGAAAGAAAATAGAAGAAAACCCAAAGGGGTGTGTATATATATGCTTGTACATGTATGTGTAGTGTGACCTAAGTGTAAGTAGAAGTAGCAAGACATACCTGAAATCTTGCATGTGTATGAGACAGATAAAAAAAAGACACCAGCAATCTTATCATCGTGTAAAACAATTACAGGCTTCAGTTTTACACTCACTTGGCAGGACGGTAGTACCTCCCTGGGCGGTTGCTGTCTACCAATAAGTATATTATTATATTTTATTATTATTATGATGCTGTGAATATTTTGCAGAGATTTTGGAATGTAGAAATTATCAGGCAGTATAGGGTAACCAGACTTGTAATTCAGAGAGTTGAGGAGGGATTGTTGAAGTGGTTTGGGCACTGAGAAAGGATAGATCAGGACTGGATGAAAAAGAAGTGCATAAATCTGAAGTGGAAGACAGGAGGGGTAGGGGTAGAGGGAGGAGATAAAAGAAGTTTTGAGTGCTTGAGCATCCAGCAGGCTTGTGTGAGCACATTAGATTGGAGTGAGTGGAGAGAAGGGTTTTTTATGGATGGACATGCTGCTGGACTGTTGCACTTATGACAGGATTCATGGAAAACCAGTTAGCTGGACTTAGGTTCTGGAGGTGGGA